ACCAATTACTGAGGATCCCAAAGAGCTGTTGTTTATGTGGGTAAAATCTATCAATGTTCACCACATTAGAAACTGAAACAAATTTCCAAAATATTTAATAATTCATTTAAAAGTGACAAAAATAAATCCATTACACGTTACTAATATCTTTCTTATAAAAAATAACTTTCAAAAAAATTTCATGAGAAGAGTGGAACTGTTTTCCATTTTTGTAAATATCTTTAATGTCTGGCTTAATACAACACAGCTGGATTCTCATATTCACTTCTGCATTCAATCTGTTGTAAAGGAGTGTTTTGGACGAAGTACATGAAGAAAATACGGCCTTACACACATGTAGGCCTGTTCAGATAACTGAACAGTCTTCTTGATTCTACAGTAAAACTTGACAAGTGGTAGCTTCTTAAAGACCAGTCAGGTGGGGAATCTGAAACCGTATCAACGAACTTCCACACTCTGTCCCCTCAAGTCCCCTGCTCCATCTTGCACTTTGGATCTTTTATTCACGCACGACTGTGTCACACGCGCTGACCAGGTGGGAAATACTGTTTCACTGAGTTATGCACATCTCCAACACACTGAAACTTTTTATCATAAAATATTTTCTAAAAGTCACCCCTGCTCACATTAGAAATCTTTTAAGAACTAGGAAGCTGTCAAGCTTGCCGTGGTGGATATAAGTTTTCCTAAATTAAAATTTGTGCTTTCAAGTGAAAATGACATCAGTGGCAACAAATATTTCTAGTTGCTTTCCTCAAGTGACGTGCTTCCTTGGCTCATTTTCAAGAAAATGTCTGCCCAAAACCCAAGCTTCGGGAACAACAGTTTGACTGTCATTGTTCTTTCAAATAAAAATGGTGTCCTGAGAGAAAAGTGGCTAGTTCAGCTTACAACTGAAGCGGCTGCACATGTGCCTTTCCCAAGACAACCGTCGTACTCCAGTACACGGCAGACGCGCCTCAGGCATACTTCCCATTTCATCACACAGCAGGTTAGAGACCTATACTCAAGGGTTGAGATTAATAACAGTAATAGTTTTCACTATTTCATCAAGGCCACTCAAGTGAAACGAGCCTTTTTCACCCCCTGCAAGTGGGTGGCAATGAAGAACGCAAGGGCCACTAAATCCAGGCTGGTGCCATGGCCTTGACTCGTGCAAGGCCAGCTGTTTGACCCACCTCTGCTTTTGCACCATCAGTGCAAACGTCAACAGTGAAAAAGGCTGATAACATCTTATAACGAAAATAATTCTGACCCCGAGGACCCTCGCGAGGACTGCCGCCCTGACAAATACTTCTCCAGGCCACAGCTGCTCTCAGAACACGGCAGCAGCTCAGAATGAAGCCATTCCTCCACAAACCCTGCAACTGGCCCATCACCACTTGTGTAAATGCTTTTGAAGCTCACCTGAATGGTAAGATTCCTCAGAATACTTCCTCTGAATTTTCTTCAGAAACACAAGGAAAAAAAAAAAAAGGATGATCAGAAGCAGAGCCCGTTAACTAAATGTATGGTGTGCAGCCCCCAGCCCATCCTCTAAGGTACCGCCGCTGGAGCACGAGAAGGAGACGGGCGCAGGCTCAAGGGCAAGAACAGGAATCCTGGCAGGTGAAAGCCGGGGGAACCAGAGCGAGGTGCGTCTGCGCGAGACTCAGTTAAGCTCCTGTCGGAGGACGGCGCAGCGGTGACTCTAAATGACAGAGGAGTGGGGGGAAGCCACAGCGTGTGACAGAAGAGATGCAGACACAGCTTGAGGACAGCGGGCAGCTTCATCCGTAATGTTCTCCTTGATACTTCCCCCCGTTCAGTCAGGAGGGACCCAGATACAAAGAAGCAAACAAAATCCAAACGAACCCTTTCTGAAAGCCAGATGCAATCCCAAATGCGGGGAGAACAACGGCAAACAGCACTCCCCCCTCCGGCCCCCCACCGCAATTAGTCAGCCTGGACTGCACTTAAACTGAGATTCTTAAGCCCAAGTCACTGTTAGGGTCGTGCAATGAGTCAGTGGAATAATGAGCCTAAGAACAGGAACCAGAGTGTCGGGCTCCATCCAGCAAAATGCTTCCAAATCCAGTAGGAGACATTATTTAGGAGACACTATTGCCCACGGCCTTTACTTTCTCAGTTGCCTCTAGGATGGGCTAGATCTCGGGGTGGGAGGGGTAGCACGGGCCTGAGGAGAATGGAGGGTCAACCACAATATCCAGGAACAAGCGCCAGCAGGAGGTCAGCTGTGTGCTCACTCCAGCTTCCCTGTGCTGCCTCACTGCTGTCCTGGAATGGACGTGCAGGGCACAGCCACTCTGCAGTCACACCCGAGGCTGGCTTGCCAGCACAGCGTGCTGTTCCTGAGAGTTCTCTGCAGGGGAGACTTCAGCCATGGGAACATGGCTGCCCTGACTCTGGAAGTGTCACAAGCATGACCATTTCTCAAAGAACAGAGTGAAATACGCACTTGCGGATCAGCTCAAGAGCATCCCACAGCCTGAATCAATTCAGTGCAAGAACGTGAACGAAGAAAACATCCCCATTCTAATCTACTCTGTCCCCCTTTCAAAGGGTTTGTTATATTTGCTGATGAGAAATGGGTGCTTTCTTCACAGAACGTCAGCCTGAGAGTGGTGAATGAGAGCTCTGGTGTGCTTGCGCGACTTCCTGTTTCCATATCTGCTCTCTGCTGAAGAGGTCCCAGCTGTCACCTAGTGGAAAAAACGAGAAACTGCCTCGTGTGCCCCGGGCGACGACAAAAGCATTCCTGTTCCCTACAGTTTCCCTTCCCCATGATGCTGGGGGACAATTATGACTCCATCCTGGGCCTTGCCTGCTGTGCTACCAACCCCAGGCAGGACACTTGACTAAGATCCTCAACTAACGATCAACCTCTCATGGAACAAATGGTCACAGAGACAGCTAATTACCAGTCACCCCCAGACCCTCTAAAAGCAAGGTGGGGAAGTCAGAGAAGCAGTCCGAGGGATCAGAATGATGGAGAAGGGGAGAAGGGAACCGGTGAGGAAGGACCAGAGGAATTCACAAAAGAGGAAGGATGAAGTCAAGAAGCCAAGTACAGATAAAACTTATCAACTGGAAAACACTGCCCTTGGGATTTTCTATACATTTTCGGCCAAACAGTCAGAAAAATGAATCCAGAAATACTGAAGTATACAAAGATGAAAAAGTTAAAGAGAAAGATCTATTCATTAAGTCACAGAAATAATAAAACCACTTTTTAAATATAATGTGCATGGAAGGAAAAAAAAAGAAAATGATGAGAATATTCCCAAACAATAATTATTCCCAGAAGGTGGGTTTTTATTTTCTACTTTGGATTTTCTGTTTGTGGTAGGGTGCTTTATTAAAATTCTGATTTGTTTTATTTTTTGTGATTTTCATTTACCCCATTCCAAGAAGGCAGGAGGGCTCTCTGAGTTCTGTGGCTCAGAGGAAGGCGATGTAGCCTGGCTAAAAAAGCAAAAGATTTCTGCAAAGTTCCAGCTTAAACTTACTTTTCTGAAAAGAATGTATCCCAGAGGGTTTTCCAGAGGGAGAAGGGGATCCAGTGCCTTTGAAGGAAAAGAGGAAAAAACAAAAAAGAGCTATTTCTCAGGACTAGAAAGAAAACAAGAGTTGGCACATTCTGCGAGTGGGGCCTGTGGCCACTTGAGAAGCCACGTGGGCCTCGGGAGGCTGGACTCAGAGCACTGACCAGGGCTCCCAGCTGAGGCGAGACCCTCACTCACCAGGCTGCCCAGAAGCATGAGCATTGCCGGAGCCAGACAGCAGGAGTCTCGACAAGAACTACTGTGGGCCGAAACCAGGGGCACCCTGAATACTGTGCTCTAAATAAGAACCCTGGGTCTTCTCTGACACTGGCCTGAAGGCTTGAGGTCAGGTTTAATTCAATTTTAAGAAAATATTGTGATATTAATTGTATAGCAAGTGTGAAACAAGATAGGTACCTACTACAGTCATGTGCTGCATAACGATGGGATACGTTCTGAGAAATGCATTGTTAGGTGATTTCGTCTTTGTGTGAACATTATAATTACTCACACAAACCTAGATGGGCCAGCCTACTACACACCTAGGCTGTATGGTGCTCATCTTATGGGATCACCGTCACATACGCCGTCAGTCTGAGTTTGACCGAAACGTTGTTATGCAACACATGACTACACGTGTTCTCCAAATTTTCTAAAATGAACCCACTTTACTTTTATAATCAGAAAACAGGTCAGCAACAAAACTTTATTTACAACAACTGAAGAATCTGCCTTAAAGAACACTATCACTGTCGGCACTGGGGGTGTGACTTCACGGCTCCAGAGGCAGCTCCGACCTTTGCGAGCACTGCTCCTTGACCCTTGTGGTCTGCAATGCCCATCTGTGCTGCAGCAGCCTGCCGTCACGGACATTGTTCAAATAAGCCCAGAAACACACACAACATTTTCTTTGTGGTCTTTTCTGACTTAGCAGGCATGGCTGGAAAATCAGGGGAATGCAAAAGGGTTATAATGGCACAACCACTTAAAAATCAGAGAGTTTCAAAGGTTCTTTCTGGCATCAGTCTCACTTTAAATTAATACCGACACATCTATTTTGAAAGCGTGTTAAATCAGCAGGGAGGGATGCTTTACACATAGCCATCCTCAATCCACAGAACCTCCTGTTCTCACAGCGAAGTGTGAGCTGGTTCTTCCAAGACAAGATTCTCTCTTTCTGACTCAGTTTCGAGAAGGTGAAATCACGCTCACGAGTGGCAATGAAATGAATCATCTTAATGAGCAGCAATCACCCCAGGCCTCCTTCCACACAGCTGGTCTCCGCACTGTGCACCCCCTGCCTCTCCACCAAAGAACGCCGGGCTGCCTCTCAGAGTGAGCCCCAGGGCTCCCCCAGCCGCCCCCCAGGACCTTCCTCCTCCACGCCTCAGCAGGGCCCAGGCCTGGGGCTTCAGGGAAGGCTGAGCAGCACAACAAGAGCGCAAGGGAACTTGCCTTTTCCATCTGTTGCTGATGCTTCTTGTAAATGCCTGATTGACCTAAAAACAAACATTTGGGAACAAAAAGTTAGCTAACAAACTTGCACTCCTTTCCGTTTCCAGCACTAGTAACTCAAGGCCTTGAATTCCTCGATTATAAATGGAAGGGCTGGACTAGATGATGTGGAGCACTCTCCCCAAACAATGGGATCTCTGATAATCAGCACTGCGCCCTGTGTGGTGCTCAACCCTGCGAGTTAAAGATGCCCTCTGCTGGCTGAAAAAAGTCTGGCAGGAGCCTGGGTGTGAGGAGAAAACAAGACAAAACACAATCATTTAACACCGCTGACTTCTTGACCTAATCTCCCATTCCTACAACCATCCCCCTACCAACACTACTAAGCCGAGGAGCATCACTGAGCTCACCCGCTTCCTGCAGAGAATGGCCTCCATAAGAAGGTCACACGCCAATTTCTAAAGTCTAGGTCCAGGGGCTACGAGCACATGGCTTCGCTCAAACTTGGTATTTCACTGACTGGAGATTTATAGCTTTGCTGAAAAATGCGAACCTCCAGGGAGTCTTTTTTCCGGCCGTGATGTGCCGGTAACTACCTACCATCATTACAGTTTAGGCAGGGAACGTCAACATTATTAAAGAAGCTCTAGACCAGAGTTCTAGGTAGAGTTCAAAGGCACCAGGGAAGTCTTTCTTAAAGCGTGAGAACAACACGGGCAGATACAGTACATGGGAAGAGAGCTGAGGTCCTGACACGGCCATGCCCTCTTTACTTGACCTTGAATAAGTCATTTCTCCTAAAACCTCCGTGTTTGCCCACCTGTGAGAACTGAATGGCACAACATGTGAACACTAACTAGCACAAAGATAGCACCAAACCAATGCTGGCTGAAACTGAATATTTAAAAAAAAATCATTGATACTATTTCTTAAATCACCTCTCTAGTACTGATTTTTTTCATTTTACAGCAATTTTCAGGATATTTACCTTAGAGAATCTTGCCATTTGGCATCTGCTTGTTAGGGTTTTAATTATGAAATGGCAGGCAATGGCCCCTTGTAGCTCTATAGCACGTCTGGGTCTTCCCAACCCCCTGTCCCTTCTACTTTACCACGCTGATAGTGGCAGATGTAAGACTAGGGTCTTATACTCCGTTCCCTAATAATAAGATGCTCTTTCTATCTGAAGACAATGCTGGTCCCCTGTTACAGATGCCTGAGTTAACTTATTCCTGGCAGGATGTGGGGAGGTGTGGAGAGTAAAGACTCATTCATGCTCTCTCTGCCATGCTGGTAGGTGTCTGCTGAACTGCTCTATGTACACATGTGATGTACAATGGAATTAGGGTTAAGAGGGAATCTGATTGGGTGGAATGAGGATTACACTCCACTGGCACCATGCTCTAAAAAAACCAGAACTGCATGACCTGATAAACCCCAGGATCCTAAAGAATATTCATTTACTGCATGGGGCATTGTAATGTGGAACACCTCACTTCTAATAGAAGGCAGGTAAATCTATTTTCTTCAACTTTATTCCAAAAGAGTTAATTGCTTTCAAGTAGCCATGGAACTAGAGCACTCTAAGGGTGTTTTTTTTTTGTAATTTTATTTATTTATTTTTTCCCCCAAAGCCCCAGTAGACAGTTGTATGTCATAGCTGCACATCCTTCTAGTTGCTGTATGTGGGACGCGGCCTCAGCATGGCTGGAGAAGCGGTGCGTCGGTGCGCGCCCAGGATCCAAACCCGGGTCGCCAGCAGCGGAGCGCGAGCACTTACCCGCTAAGCCACAGGGCCGGCCCTCTAAGGGTGTTTTACTTTCGCTAGCCTTTTGTCCTCTACTTGTTTCCTACTGTACCAAGAATTTCCTCCACTTTGCACGAGATGTAATGAGGATATTCTTTCTCATCAACCACTGACTTAGCACTAACATTTCTTTACACATAACCAGAGCACAATATATGCATCTAAAGCCTGCCATCTCCAGGAATGAAGCAAACCATTCTGAAGATATCTAAAATGTTTACATGCTGAGAACTATCACTAGTTTTACGTTAATGTACTTCCTCATTTTCCACCTAACTTGACAAGGAAAGGCTAAGGGATTTCTTCAACTCCCTTCCCTCCAAATTCTTGCTGCTATTTTATGCTGCTACTAAGTTCTCATTTCCAGACCTTTTCTATTGCCTAAATGGTGCTAAAAGCCAGCCATGGTGCCAGACTAGATCTATCAGAATGCACTCGGGAACTTGATAAAGACACAGATTCCAGGGTCCTGCCCTGGAGACTGATTCAAGTCAGTCTGGGACCCAGGAAGCTGTATTTTTTAAACAGATGCCTCGTGTGATTCGAACCAGTTTGGGGATGGCTGGTTCAGCTGTTGGGTTTGAGGACAAGCCTCGTGGTCCCTGCGGGTACTCACCACACCACTGGGAAGAGGATGGCTCCACAGCACAGCAGGTCAACCAGAAACAGAGAATCCTTCCACAAGCCATACTCAGTCGTCCCCTCCTCAGTGGACTCTATGATGATGTAGGCCACATTTGCCAGGACCTAGAGGGCATGAAAAGTCGCTGAGGCTCCCAAGCATGGGTAGATCTTTACAACCACAGCCCCAGCAGGGGGGTGGACACCTGGCCTGCAGGCCCTCAACCTATGGCCACAGCATTATTTCCAGTCCCACACGCTCTTCCAGAACTTCGCCACTCTCCTATCAAGAAGCAGCCTCTGTGCCCTCCTCCTGACACTGTGTTTGCTCTGACCAACAGAGGAAGCTGGAAGTGAGGCCATACGATTTCCAAGGTAGGTCATACACAGGATACAGCTTCTGCCTGGCTCTCTCTCTTGAGACACACACCTTCGCAGCCCTGAGCCTTCTTGTAGGAAGTCTGGCTACCCCGCAGCTGCCATGCTGGAGAGACCAGGCAGAGAGAGAGAAAGATGCCCAAGGAGCCCCAGCTGATCAAGTCTTCCCAGCCCAGGAGATGGATGCAAGTGAAGATTTCCAGATGACCCCAGCCACTGTCTGACTACGTAACTGTGTGAGACTTCAAGTCAGACCTACCCAGTTAAGCCACTCCTGAATGTTGCTGTAAGTCACTAAGTTTGGGGGTGACTGATTATGCAGCAATAGATAACTGGGACACTTGGCTTTCCTAGGCACTCTAGGCCTCAGCACAGTCACTCAGGTGCTAAACAGGGGGCACTTTACATCCCGCTTAGCCACGATGCCCACATTCCTCAAGCCCAAGTTCTCCCTGTGTGGGTACCGCTGGTTCTCCCTGACAATCACTCTTCTGAGTGCCAGATAACGGGACCATCTTGTCTGAGACCAGAGCAGCAAGAATGGCAGGTTTCAGCCGGTGCTCGACTAGCTGCATTGCCCCTCACAGGAATTCCAGTCCAGGTGCCCTCTACAGCGGACACGGCTTAGTTCTTCCCCCTGAGGTTCATCTGTGTCCATGCTCTGCTTCATTTCCAAAATTAAGGCTGTGCCTTGTGTGTTCAGTCCCGATATTAAGCTCTTAGCATATTATGAAAAGTCTTTCAGGTGACTAAACTGAGACGGCAATATTTTGAAAACTGGGATGCTGCTCAGCATAAGGGAGACATCATCTCTGAGCCATTCTTTTGAAGATTACCATTAGGATGGACACAAGGATTATAATCCCACCTCTGTAGTCCATGAGAAGTCCATGGTCCCAAACACTCTGCTTGACTTGCAGTAAAGGTAATTCTCCACACTTTTACAAAAATGTGCAATCTGTTGTGCTGCTATTTAGGAAGTCTCTAAGTGTAGTTTCTCTTTCTATCTAGGACTTATCAGTTAAATCAGCACAGAAGCCATACTTCACCTAATACAAAGGCAGAAATTATTTTGATATTTCAGTCTGCCACTGACACTCCTTCCGGGTTCCTCCTGAAGCCCCCAGAGTGTCCTAAACGTCTGCATCCATGGCTCTATCTATGAAGACAAAGTGGAAAACAAGGCTTTCACAGCTCACATTCATAATTCCATTTTGTCCTTACTTCACACTCTTGACATGAGAGACAAAATGTTCCCAGAAGTGCTGGTGTGCAGCAAAGTGCCAACCATGTTCTTGAAACTCCATTTGTATATCACTCACTTCTTACTCAGAAAACGGCAGTGGCTCCCCGTGGTCAAAAGGAAGCAGCTTTAACTTTCAGGCCAATGTTCAAGGCCTTCCCAGACTGGTTCCAATGTTTAAATACTCGTAATCTCCTCGTATTTAATTTTTTGAATGTCCTTGTTTCCTCAGAGAGACTTGACATGTAACCTTGTGTTTTGCTCCTTCTGGGAACAAAAGAGGGGGAGCTGGGAAGACTGTGCCCATTCCATCACAGTCCCGGCTGCGTGAAGAAGATCCAAACTGGAGGGGACGCAGCAGCTACCAGAGGGGAAGGGAAACAGGAGCTGTATGGCCCAGTGGGCAGAGGACCCAGGTCCAGCACTTAGGGGCTCTGAGACCTGGCCAGGCTGTAGAACTCAGCCTGGCAGAGAAGTGGCCCTGGTGGCTCAACAGAAAGACCCGTACAGGTCCTTAGCATCTTCTGTTCACTAGACACAGTATCACATGGTTCTGCTGCTGGTCCTTTGCCTCGGTCACATTTCTTTCCTTAACCGTCTAGGCAAGGCCCATCTCTGCCATAAATCCTTCCAGATCATTCGAATTTGGGTGATTACTCTCTCCTTGGACACCTCTAGCAACTGATCTGTACCATTCACTTGGCACTCACATATGTCCTTTATTACTGAATGTCAAGGTGGCTTTGCTGCAAAACTTGCTAACCCACCAATCACCAGATTTGGGTGGGCTGATTTGGGTGCCTAGGGACTTGTCCCCTTCCTTCCCTCGGAAATCTGCCACATTTACACTGTGCTCCACAATGAGACCAGTTGACAAGAACAACTTTATCCAACAGATGCTCTTTGGCCACGCAGAGCAGAGCAGCTGCACGTTCCTGCTAGGACGTCCTGTTAATATTATGAGTTCTGTACGTCCAGGCTCTGCCTCCACTAAGACTGTTACATATAAGACAAGGTTCCTCCCCTGAGGGGCTCACAGCCTTGTAAGGACTGGCCTCAGCCAGGGTCCCAAACATAGGAAGCGTTCATAAATGTCTGCCCCTGATGTCCACTTAACATTCTACCTTATGAAAACTCACTGGTGTCATTTGCAATTTTCAAATAATTTGTTAATAAAATCGCTTCTTTGTTAAGATGACCATTTTGTCATACGACAAACAGACGCAGAAAAGGCAGTGCGTTTCCCTAACTTTTCAGCAGCTCTCTGTGCAAAGCGTAGGTGTCCACATGCTGGTTTAAGGATGACTGATGGTCAAACATCTCCAAGAGCAGCGACCTGGGGTCTCAGTCTATCAGAACTCAGAAAGGGAATCCCCACCGGCAGAAGCTGGGGTTTCTGGGTGAGCTGACTCCCTCTTCCCAGACAGGCCTGGAGCCGAGCCCTGCCAAGTGCCAAGACAGAACTAGGACAAGCAGGACCAGGGTTCCCTCACCTGGAGTGGGATGACAATCATGAAGATCTTTTTGTCTTTATCGGAAAGGATGTGCTTAATGAAAGCCCAGCCGGTGCCAATGAGCGCGATGGTGATGAACAGAAGCGCCCCTTTCAAACTGGAAAAGAAAAAATTTAACAGACACCAACGGGTCTCTTCAGACTCTCACCCTGAGAGTTAGATTCTACAGTGCATTCTATGATTTCACGTGCTTCTTGCAAAAGATAGGTAGCCAAACTGAGGAAATTCATCTTACATGAGCAAGGCTTCTGTCTGGGCACACAAACAGCCAGCTATGCACCCCACTACCTGAGCAGCCGATCCCCACAGGGAGGCAACCCTCTCCCAGGAGCACACCAACAGCCCCGGCATCTCAAGACTGCACAGCCACCCGTACACCACACATCTCGGGCAGGGCAGGAACCCAGACAGGCGGCCACAGGAGGGGGCCCGTCACCCTGGGGCAGGTCTCTTCCTACCACAGCCTCCCTCACTTCTCTCGTGAGTCATTTCGTGGTGTGAGTAATGCGAGTGTCACCTTGCATACTTACAGGTGAGTGATGTAGTACACCACGGCCCAGCCTTCGATGGGAAAGCCCTGGGAGGAGATGTAGTGATAGTCGATCTGCAATCAAACGAGTGTGGTTCAGAAACGCCGACCTACCTCCCGCCTCAGTGCACAGCGAAACAGGAAATGCCACGAGAGGCCCTCCCGAGGGGGGCTGTCCCCCACCCCATACCCTAATAACTCACTCACCAATTCACAAGGAAGCATGTGAGTGCACTAACAAGGCCGGGCAGCCCGAGAAACCAGACTCAAGGTGTCAAAGTCACTAAGACCCAGCCCAGGTCCCTCTCTTGAGGCAGGTGATTCACCTGGCAAATGGCTACCTTTTCTTTTCTTTAAAACCTCCACGGTTCAAATGCCACAGGTATTTTCAGTATTCCAGCCAAGAACTTTATCTTTCATACCCCAGCTGCTTGTTCCATAAGTAAATAAGTCAGTCAGTGAAAAATCTATGTGGAATCACCCAGCTTCAACTAGGTTTTCTTTGAAAAAAATCTGTACAATTTAGAGCTACCTGAAGCCACCATCGATCGCATTTTGATTAAAGTGGCAAGTTTCAGTAGTGTACCCAAAATGCTTCCTGGCAGAACTCACAAAGCTGGTACCAATTTCTTCATATATCTTTCACTCTATCACAAATGGCCACCTAGCCATAGAGGGACTCAAGGATCCTATCATTCATTATCTATACGGTTCCAGAAAGAATCTGTTAACCTACCTCCAAATGGGAAATTATCCAAATAACTGTCATTTCTTGAGACTGTAACTGGATGCGTTATGACTTTTTCTATGACAACATTTTTAAGTGTGGCAGGAGAGCACCTGTCTGGAGACTGTCATGCTCACAGTTGTGGCCCGTGGGTGCCTTGTAGGCTTGGGAATTGGGGAAGTTGTGATCTTACACCCACGGGCAGGCTCATTTCAATTGGTACCGATACTACCTATTCAAAGCTTAAGCTCAATTCTTGTAACTCAATCTTTAGAGCATCAGTTTTCTCTCAAATAACAGAAACTAACACTGAACTTCAAATCAAATGGGAACATGAGGGAATATTTGGAAAAATAAAGGAAGTCATGGAAACAATTCAGCAGGTGGCACTCTAATCTCAAGAAATGACCAAAAAAAACCCCAAAGAAATAAAAATGAACAAGTGTGGGAAAACTCCAGGTCTGCAGGTAATATCAGAAGATGTCTTAAGTCTAATCATAAGGAGGTTGTGATGATGTACCCCCAAGGCCAGGCCCCCCCAGACAAAGGAGGCTTCACGAGATAGAGATTCTTTTATCTTTTGTTTCCACTGATCTACCTCCTTCCTTCTAATTTATTTTTCCTAGCATACAAACACTGTACATCATTCCATAAATGACCCCAAAATACTAATACATACTGCATGGAACACCAAGGAAAGAGATTTGGTGAAAGGAAGGGCCGCCATCAACCAGTGAATTTTAAACACGTCATTCCTATAAAAACAGAGAGAAAAGAATTAAAGGAATATTCCATTCTCCCAAAGGACAGCCAAAGCTCCAGACATCAGATCTATTTATACAGAGGCAGTAAATACAATCTAAGCAAACCACAAACATGAAGACATTTTAAAAAGTAGTTTCTGCCAATGGAAAAGGCCTCAAATGGAGTCCTAAAGTCATCTCCAATACACAATTTAATGTTGTGAATGGAACTGAGAGTTATGCACTGAAGCCACACATGATGGGCTCCAAGTTCTGATAAGATGGAAATTGAAATAGGTTGCCAGCTTCCTCCCCAAAAACCACCTTGGAAAGGCCACGGAGGCAAGAATGAGGGGGATGGATCTACGAAAATGGCATGAAATCCCCGAGAAAGCAGAGGCGATCAGGTGCAGCTGTAGGGGAAATCAGCAGCCCAGAGCAGGGGTGGGTTGGGAGCCACGCAGCAGGGACGGTCAAGGGAAAACCTCGCGGCCATGCCCCTCTCTCCCCCACGCCGCCAGAACCTGCCAAATACAGCAGGCCAGTGGGGCAAAGCACCCATGCCCCCACAGGTACTAGCCCACCCTTGGCCTGCCACACATTAAGTTCTCTACTCTTTCTCACCTTGCCCTAGGAATTAACCTAATAGGACACACAAGGCCATTATGGAGGAAAACGTACAACTCTATTAAAGTACACCAAGAAAGATTTAAGTAAGAGCCACAGAGGGAACTCAGACTCTCAGATGTCACGACATTCCGCAAAGCCACAGCAGCAAAAATGTGGAATGGACACAGCCTCAGACGAATGAACCAACAGAACAGACCAGAGAGCTCAGAAACAGATTCAAATGCATATGGAAGCTTGATAGATGGTAAGATGACACCAAATCAGTGGGAAAAGAATGGGCTGTTTAATAACTGGCACAGGGAAAAATCAGCTCAAACCTAGATATAGGAAAAAAGAAAGCTGGATCTCTACTTCACACTTACAAAAAGGGGGACCCCCCCCAATAGGTTCTGGCACTAAACATAAAATATGCATTTTGTGAGTAGGAAGGGGCCTCTTAAAATCTGAGAGGCACTGCCCAAAAGACTAAAATTAGATACCTTTGACTCCACTAATGCGAAATGTTTTTTTTCAACAACGAATACCATAGACAAGTTTAGCAGACTGGGAGAAGAAATTTGCAATGTCTAAGACAGACAAGGGACTTATATCCAGAATATGCAAGAAACTCACGCAAAGCAACAAGAAAAAGAAAACCCAACAGAAAAATAAGCAAAGAAGACAGGCAGTCACAACAGGGAAAACCCAAATGGTTAACAGGTTCTTGCAAAGATGATTCACATCCTTAATATTCGGAGAAATGCAAAATAAAATAAGGTACCAGTTTACACCCACCAGATTGGCAAAAAATAAGGTGTCGGTATTAGTGAGTATGCGGGGAAACAGGACCTTAGGTACTGCTGGCAGAAGTATGAACTGGTATGGGCACACAGGTGGGCAATCTGGTGGCACTGAATGAAATTAAATGCATGTTTACCCCACACCCACTGCACTTCCTCTGGGAATGTCCCTTAGAGGCTGCACAGAGCTGTAAGGGGACAGGCGGGAGGAAGGGTCACAACAGCACTGTTTGGGGGAGCAGGAAGATGGACACAACCCAGGAAAGCCCACCATTAAAGGGATGGATGAGTAAAACGCAGGGATGCACACTATGGGTGCTATAGGATAGCTAAAATAAATGAACTAGATGCACACACAGCAATGTGACTAGACCTTACTGAGTGAAAAATGTAGAAGAACAATATCTATAGATAGTATAGTTTATATAGATTAAAAATACATGCAATACCAATAAACATTACTTATTTATAAGAATACACAAATATCCAATAACGCATACTGCACACATGTGAGTGGTTCTCCATGGGTGGGAAGGAATGGGAGAGGAGATAGGAAATGAAAGGGAAAATACAGCAGCAGAGGGGCCTTGCACGACGATGAGGACGGCGTGTCATGAAGTGACGCACGCTCAGTTTCCGGGCTGGTTTCCTCCCTGGTACTTTGCTCTAGTCTCCACCTACTTGAAGGTCAAAAAGGAACTCAAGGCCAGAGTAGTCTGTCACTCCTAAGCAGCAACGAGATTTAGCCAGTGCAGAACTGCCCACTGTCAAGAGTGGTGCGCACTCACACCCCAGCAACCTCAACTTGCAGTCCAAGTTAAAACACCCACGGCTGGGGCAGTGATGTGACGGAAAGAACACAGGCCCTGAAGCCACACCAACCTGGCTCCAATAATGGCTCTACCCTGACGACCTGAATCTTTCCAAGCCTCAGGAATCTCTTCTGAAAATGGGGAACAATGACCTCAAGGAGCTGTTGCAAGATTCGCTAAACTAACCAACCTCGAGTGCCAGACTGGGCAGAGTGGGTACTCCAAAACCATACATTTTATTTTGCTTGTTCATTCCCTTCCCACATCCCCGGGATTCCCATCCCCATGCTCTGGGGCCCACAAGAGAACTTGGAGTTGAGAGGAGCCACAGATGCATCACAAGCAGATCTGGGTTCCAGTGCCAGCTCTGTCAGGTGACACTAGCGATGTCTCTCACTTCCCCTCTCAAGGCCTCAATAAAACCAGGCAAAGGTCTTTCAGTTCCTTCCAGCTCTGAGGGCCTAGGAGCCTCGGAAATGCACTGGCAGCCTTGGAGTCACATCCTTTACATGACTCGAACTTCCAACCTAACACTACTGGCTGTAAGACTCCCGGAAAAACATGGGGATGGGCAGAGGGCTTAAATTACACATTTCTGCATGTGTACTATACTTCAACGAGAGTTCAAACATGTTGTACCAGGTTGGTCAGCCTCACTTAACCATAGATTTAAAATTATTGCCACAATTATATGTACGTGAACCAGTGACAAGGACTGTTGCATCAGTAAATAAAGGGAAATTAAAGCACCACTGAACACCTGGCCAGTAAGCTGTTTTGCATGGACCTCATATTTGCATAGCACTCTGATTTGCAAAGCCCTCTCATACACAGTATTTTGGGGTAATTACATACAAATCGAAGGATCTAAGGCTCTTAGAGGAAGGCAGGGAAATTATTACTGTCCTGGTTTGGTAGCCGAGGAAAAGCAGACTTAGAGTGAAGCCAGGCACACAGGCAGTAACCGTCCTCGTTCACACCTGAAATCAGGCGTCTGCTCCTAGTTCTTACTCTTCTAATAAAGGCAAAAGCAGAGCTGGCTCCGTGGCTTAGCGGTTAAGTGCGCGCACTCTACTGCTGGCGGCCCGGGTTCAGATCCTGGGCACGCACTGCTTCTCCGGCCATGCTGAGGCCACGTCCCACATACAGCAACTAGAAGGCTGTGCAGCTATGACATACAACTATCTACTGGGGTTTTGGGGGGGAGGGGAATAAATAAATAAATCTTTAAAAAAAAAAAAAAAGGCAAAAGCAAAACTTTCTTTAAAAAAACAACCAAAAACACCTTTTGTGGCCTAAATGCGTAGGACTCATTTTTTCTTATTAATGGCTGCCTGATCATTTAGTCCAAACACGATTATGTACGGTCCTTCACAAGTCAACAAGAAGCTCTTTCCATCTGGTGGGTGTAAAGGATATTACAACAAACAGGAACCAGCAACTGCACCCAGCAGAGCCCAATACCCAAGCTGGGCATTTCCCCTAGAAGACAATCAGGCCACCAGGGATTAAAGAAGTCTTAATTTCTGCCCCAATGCTCCAGAGAAAGAAGTATTTGATATTTGGGGGTGCTTCATTATTGTATGACTTTAAATTAATCCATATTACAATACCATATTCACATACCCCCATGTACTCTAACAAATACTTCTAACAAATACTTCATGTGGGGTCTTTAAATGAAATTTAATATTTCGTTCTCAATTTTGGGGGGAAGGAGACAAAATTAAACACTAGCTCTACACATGTGCAGCTGCTCCCCTCAAGAACCAAGTCCAGGAAGTTAAAGCCTCGGGGGTTTCAGAAGAAAGGCCAAGAGGCAGGCAGGTGGCCGTTGAGGAGGTCTTCCCCAGTGGCAAGGCTCTGGAGGTCAGTATCTACCCCAGCCGGCCTCTGAACTGAGGACTTCAGTACTAAGCAATAACTCCATGCTCTCACCCAGGCAGTGGGTCATTGTCCCTCATCTCCTCTTAAGAACAAACAGCCGCTCCGGCCCCGTGGCTTAGCGGTTAAGTGCGCGTGCTCCACTGCTGGCGGCCCGAGTTCGGATCCCGGGCGCGCACCGACGCACCGCTTCTCCGGCCATGCTGAGGCCGCGTCCCACATACAGCAACTAGAAGGATGTGCAACTATGACGTAGAACTATCCACTGGGGCTTTGGGGGAAAAAAGGAGGAGGATTGGCAATAGATGCTAGCTCAGAGCCGGTCTTCCTCAGCAAAAAGAGGAGGATTAGCACGGATGTTAGCTCGGGGCTGATCTTCCTCACAAAAAAAAAAAAACAACAAACAGTCCCTGAATGGGACCAGCGTGTTCACCCTGCGTTCTGGACTGCAGTGCCTTCGCTATGGAAACGCTTTGCTTATACATTTTATTTTGCTTGTTCATTACCGAAATATTTGGATTTGCTTTCTAAACAAAGCAATGGGAAGTAAACAAACACCAAGGCATGCAAAGGCCTCCCACGCTGCAAGGCTCCTGCGTAGTCTCCCTGTTCCGGGGAAGATGCCCGTTGAAGAGAACAAGACTGCTAGTGCCAATTCCTTCCAGGTCCAGAAGCCAGCAAAAGGTGAAATGACACAAATCCCAACACACTCTAAGTTGAAGGGTTCAAGGAAGTATTAATTTACCGTCGTTTTCGAAGGATGTGAATCCAGACGGTCCCAGAAAGGAAAAAGAAAAAGGCCATAGAAATGTATAATTTAGGGAGAGGAATTTCTCCTGCTGAGAGGTAGCTGTCAGGATTCTTCTCTGTGATCTCAATCTGAAACCAACATGAAATTAATTTTCACTTTTCAGGAACACATCATCCCATATTCAGCAACTCGGATATAATCTTAGCTGTTTCATTTAAGCTTAAGAAAGTGAGTACCAGCAGATAAAAACCACATTCTTAACACACAGGTTGAAGTGTGAACACATCCTAAATTGCTTTATATTTTCTTATTTATGAATCTTCTGCTGAAGCATCCTGCCCACTGGCAAAGACGTTATTCTGGCCACATTTTTCTCTTACTCTGCTTAAGTGTTCTTAAAACCTATTCTTATAGAGAAATAAATGTCTCACATTTTACATGGCTGACAAAATCCACGTGGAACAGTTTCCATATGGTACTCACATCAAGGCTGAAGGAAAACTTGTCAGTAGTCTGAGTTTCTTTTCCAAGGCATTTATGAAAATAAAGACTGTAGAGGCCTTCTTGGTCATCAGTGCTGATGTTAAAGAAAAACTGAAAATGAAGAAGAAAAAAATTTAAGGGTACTCAAATCCTCAGCTAAATGTTTAAATCTTAGAAATAAATCATGAATGCTATGGACAGAAGAAAATACAGACTACTTAAATTAATAAAATTCTCCCAGAGCAGAGTTTAAACAGATATTTTCTTATTCTATGATTCCCTCCCAATATTTTGTTACAACAATTTTCAAGCTAACAGAAAAGTTGACAGAACTACACAGTGAATACCTATATACCCACTACCTAGATTCTACAATTAACATTTTACTATACTTGCTCTATCGTGTATTTATCCGTCACTGATGCGTTTTTGTAGAAGTCTGCAGAGATAACCTAGGATGCAGTTATCTAGTTTTCAAGACAACATGATTTTGCTTTTTAGAAAAAAAAATACTCCTAAAAATAAAGGAGGTTCCTCTGATACCTGAAAAGGTAATGGACCAATATTCCCTCATCAAAATTTATACCTATGGTTTTAGACAATAGTAATAGAGGCCACATTTTCTAAATTTAAACATTTTTCTATGTTTTTCATATATTTCATGTGTTCAAATTAAGTTTAATGTCAATCAAAAGACATTATATATGTAAGTTCACAGAATGTGACTCCTTGGTCAATTCTAGAGAACACTGTACTATAAGCCTAAAATATATTGTTTAGGGCTACATGTATAGATGGTAAATATAAAGAAAAGTGAGGAAATGATTATGATAACATTCTTCATGACGGGGGTTACTCTAGAGTGGGGAAGGGATGTGAGGGACACACAGGTTTCTGGGGTGCTAGCACCGTTCTAGTTCTTGTCCCAGACGACGGTTACAAAGGTGATTATAATTATTTGTACTCAACGTAAGTCCTATACACTCTTCTGTATGTATACTATATGCCATAATTAAAAAGGATGGGGAAAAAAGAGATAACTGACAAGAAGATGGAAATAAAGGACCAAGAATATTCACACTGAAATTATCAGTCTGTTATACCATGTCTCAAATGTGAGAGCACATATTTTGGTCCATGCAGGGCAGCGAGAAAAAGAAAACTTTTCTGAACATATTAGTAACTTTTAGTTCCAAAAGTAAGACTCATATGATGTTTCTAAGAAATACTAAAAAAAAAAAAAAAATCAATAGAGTCATCACGGTACATCAGAGTAGGCACCTGACCTTTAAAGACAAAATCCAAAAGAAAATAAAGCAAAAGTGTCAATTTTAGAGTTGGAATAAGCCCTGACAGTCCCTTTCCTACCTTAGAGAGATGAATTATCACCCCTACTCTGAGGATGGGGCAGAAAAGCTCAGAATGACCGCACTGTTCAAAACAGGGCAGATCTTGGGTCACAGAACAATAAGGAGTCGCCTACTGACTTCTTTACGAGGAGGGGAAGCCAGAGAAAAGGCAAGCTGTCCGTCCACTGCCTGTTTTATGCATCCCAGGAACCCCACAAACTAGCTATTTCAACCAATGTTCTTAATCTCACGTACGTTGCTCTCCCCTCCACACTCACCCTGACACAAAGCACCAGTAACTGACAAACGTGTACAGCCTATAACGCTTTCCTTTTGTGGTTTCTTTAAAAAAGGCTTTTTGAAAAACATTCAAAAAACTTGTTTTATTAACAAGCTTTTTAAAGTGAGGGAAAGAAGACAGAAAAGTACCTTTCATATTTTCTTAAGGAGGTAGTAAAGCAAAGTGGTTAAAGACATGGGCCTTGGAGTCAGACAAACCTGGGTTTGAATCCTCCCCTTAGGCAAGTTACTTAACGTCTCTGAGCCTCAGTTTCCTCATCTGTAAACGGGGAATAATAACAGTACCTACTTCATAGAGTTGTTGGGAGGACGAACTGAGGTAATGATAACATATAAGTACTTAGCACAGTGCCTGGCATTCATCCTTTCATCTCCATAATTACACATGGAGAGCCTGCTGTGGGCCAGGAGCAAGATTAGGAATTTCATACACATCAGTAATAAAACAGACAAAAATCCCTGCCCTTACGGTTACCTTCCAAAGGGAGAGATGGACAATAAACATAATAAGTAAGTACAGTATACAGCATGGAAAGAAGAAGCGCTGAGGGAAAAAACAGAGCGGTGGGGGGAGGGGGGTGTAGGCTGCATTTAAAATAGGGCGCTTGGAGGAAGCTTTGTTGAGAAGGTGACATTTGAGCAAAGACTTGAAGGAGGAAGAAATTAATCACGTGGATTCTGAGGAACAAGCACTCCTGCCCGTGGGTACAGCCACAGCAGAGCCTAAGGCCTGATCTTTTCTAGGAGCAGTAAGGTGGCCGGTGCGGCTGCAGCGGAGTGAGCAACGGGGGGGAAACAGGAGCGGAGGTCCAAGAGATGACAGCAGCCAGACCACGTGGGCTTGGAGACCAGGGAGAAGACGGGGGCTTTTACTCTGAGACAGATGGGAAGCTGTTGAGGGTTCAGAGCAAAGGAGCACCCCGTAAGCTCTCAGTTAGCTATTAATACTGATGCTTACTAAACTTAAATAACATATAAAAATTCAAAGATAGGCAAAATAATCTATGGTGAAAGAAATTAGAACAGTGGATGCAGGGCTGGGGGACTTTCTGAGGTGATAAAAATACAGAGAATCTTGATAGGGGAAAATATGGGTGCATGCATTTATCAAAACTGATCAAACTGAATACTTTAGACCTGTGCATTTCACTCTAAGCAAATTAGAACTCAATTAATGAAAACTGGTTAGAAAAGAGGCAGTGATTCTTACAAATCAATGATAAAAGATTATTTGTATAGTACTTTACAAACCACTTTTATTTTTTAGAAAATGATACTCAAAACAACCCTATGAGATAGGTGTCATCGTTTTTCATTTTTAGGTGATTAAAGAGCAAGGTCCAGAAGTTAAGTGAATTGTCCAAGGTCACCAGCTAGGAAGTGGGTTTCGAGATCCAGTCCCATGTCCTACCCTGCACATAGGCTGTGATGCCGCCACAGGCACTCATGTGCAGTTAATAACGGTCACAGCCGAGCAGGTCACTCAAGGCCTCTGAGTCTCAGTGAACTCATCTCTAAAATGACATCATCACCCTAAGTGATTGCCAGTGGTCCTTTCAGGCATAGAATTCTGTGCTTCCGGCGCACTCTGAATGGGAGGCAGGATGGGACTCAGAGATGCTGAGTTGTGCGCAGCCAGGCAGAACTGGGTTGGAATCTGGGCCTTGTCACTTACACTGGACATTCACGAAGCTATTCATTCTCAGAGGCTTATAATTTGATATGTGGTAGGTCACAATATCCACCTTTCCGTCTGTTATGGAGAGAGCTACCATCTTCAAGTGACTGACATATAGCATGCTTAAATTATTCCTAAATTCAAACTCCCTTAAAAAATTCACCCTTTTACATGGTAGAGATAAATTCTATGAAGCTTTACTCAAAGAGAATACATACCTGAAATGAAACTGCTCCATTGTTATTATGAATAGAAAAGGATTTCTCTCCTGTTACCTAAAAAGACATAACATCCTGTTTTAGGAAGATACTGGCAGAAAAAGTATGCTAATAAAAATGTTAAAAACCCAAAACATATTTCTTCTTAAGTTTCTTCTTAAACTCTAAATTTGCTGACCTTCAAAAGCTCTCTGAAAATAAAATTCACTATCTTTTAAAGATGTTTAAAATCCCCTTTCACAGAGAATGGTAATTCCTCCTCACCCATTTCCTTTCCTCTGCTGTCTCTTCTGCCTCTGCAGTAACCCCCTATGCCCTGCCCTCCCCACCCCAGTCCTCCTGCTGGAGCACTTCTCTACTCTTAAAGCTCCAGCAAGACTAAGGATGCCCATCCAGGTCACACCCCAACGCCCCACCTGGACTCCATTCCCGATCTCAAATGATCAACACGTCGCCATTGGTACAATGGACTGATACTAAGTAATGAAAGGAATGAACTATTGATACATGCAACAACATGGATGAACTCAAAATAATTATGCTGAATGAAAGAAGACAAAAAAGAGCACATACTGCATAATTCATTTATATAAATTTCTATAAAACCAATCTATAGTGATAGATCAGTGGTTGCCTGGAGACAAATGGATGACCAAGGGGCAGGAGAAACTTCTGGGGTGATGGATGTTCACTATCTTGATTGTGGTGGTGGTTTCACAAATGTACACATCAAAGCTTATCAAATTGTCATTTTAAATATGTGCAGTTTATTGTCTGTCAATTATATTTCAGTAAAGCTGTTACAACAAAATAAAATAAAATACCACCATTTGGATGCCCCATCAATGAAAAATCAAGATATCCCAAAGGCAAACTTTCCCAGAGTTTCCCCCTGCTATTTCTACTACCTACCTACCCCTCTGCAAAAACACATTGACCTCTTCGCTTACCTGCCCACCACCCCCAAGTGCCTCCCAGACTGGTCCCTTATGTCACATTCCAAGGCTCTCCTCTAGCTCAGATCCTCCTCAACCTAAACCTGTATTATCACAACAGCGTCCCTCCTGGTCCCCCTAATTTCACTATCTTCCTCTCCAAGGCTACTCTGCATATTACGTTCAGAACGATGATCTTCTCTAGACACCATATGTGTCACGTTCCTTCCTGATCAAGAACACACGGTGACTTCCTATTTCTACGCATCAATACCTTCAAATTTCTGGCCCTATACTATCTAAGATCCCTCTCTCTACTCCCAAATATGTACCTTTTACTTCAAACAGGCCAGTGGCCAGCATTTGTCATGCTCATGTCCACTTCCAGTCTTTGCTCATGACAGTCTTCATCCCCTCCCTTCGCCTCCTCTTCCCCAAATAAACCCACCGCATTTCAGGCCCTGGTGACACCTCCTTCCAGAGGGCTCTCCAGACGCTCACTTCCCTCTCCTCTCACTATCTCACCCTCTGTCACATAAGTGCTGTACAACTCAGCACTGAATTTTACTTTGAAGTTGTTTCAGTGTCAATGTTATCTCCCCGAACAGAAGGCCACTCCCTGCAGATTAGGCATGTATATGCATATGTATACATATGTGTGTGTACCTATATATACATATGTATATAAACACATTCACAGACGCACACATATACACAGACACATATATACACATATATCCAGGAAAGCTGAGCACAAGTGGCTGGTTAGTTCTTACCTTTGAATCCACTGTACTTCTTTTAGACTTTCCACTGTCTAGAAACAGAAACATTTAAAAGATATTATCACAAGATTCAGCTCATATGTACATTACAATATCATTTCATGAGACTCTAGCTTGTCTAATATCAAAGAATTCAAAGAAACAAACAAAAAGGCGAGGCCATACGCTATCTTGTGAACTGTCATCTCCTCAGAACCCAAATAATCCTGAGCTGCAGAAGCGGCAAATTGGAATTTGTTATATTATAAATGCGATTTTAAAATGATATTTGGTACCAACAGAGGAATTCATCTCCGAATAAGGCAGTGTATGTTATTGCTGGAGATGCCACATGGAGTGACTTTCCTTATTTTCTAAGTAACTATATTTGAAAACAGACCATTATTTAAAATATATATATATGAGACTTATTAACACACAGAAAAATTAATAGCAAATATCATTAGCATAATGCACATTTTTCCATAGCAAGGAACATTAAGACTGTAATGGCTTCTTTTAAGGAACAGAGAGGGCATCTGTGCCTTATTTTTACTTAAGATACTCTTCATCTTTCTTAAGATACTTTCTCACTCTTTCATGAGAAAGACAGGATTTCAAGCTCCCTGGAGGAAGGGACAGAGTTTCAGAATAAAAAGATGGAAAAGAATACAGTCATGCGCCACATAATGACATTTCAGTCAACGACGGACCACATATACAACGGTGGTCCCATAAGATTAGTACCACGTAGCCTAGGTGTGCAGTAGGCTATACCATCTAGGTTTGTGTAAGTACACTCTATGATGTTCGCACAACAATGAAATCGCCTAACGATGCATTTCTTAGAACATATCCCTGTCGTTAAGTGACAGAGAATGTATTTTCCACCCAGGGGATGGTTATGTGAGCATGAGGAACCTGGACAAGGAGACGGTGCACAGACTTTAAACTACACCATCACACAAATGTAATATTTCTCTACGTCTTTTAATTTGGGTTAGAGTTTTGACAAACAGAAAAAAATGTGTAAATAATACAATAAATAGTAAATTATCTTTAAAGAACTCATATAAATTAGTAGACAAACCTGAGTTAATAAAAGAGGTGATAAACATAAATTGGTTAATCAACGTATGGGGAAAAAGTGCAGCCTCAGTAATACGAGTGAATACAAACAGAAGACTACCTTTTTGCCTTTCCCTTTAGGATTTAAGGAAAAAAATCCCAAAAACCCACTATTGGCTAGGACATGGTGATGTAGGCACTATTCCTACATGTTTTCCAACAGAAATAGAAATTCACTCAACTCATTTGGAAAGAAAATGAAAATATGTATCAGATATATTCTCAAAAGTATTAATATCCTATGAACCAGATATTCTATTTCTGGGAAACCATCTTAAAGAAAGTTCTATACACATGAAAAACATTCTACAAATAAAGAAGTCCAACAAAGCAGTATTTATAATAGCATCAAAATGGAATTACGTCTCTTTAAGGGGAAAGGTTGAGCAAGTTACAGTATCCATTTAATGGGATATCTGATGAGTATGAAGTATCTTAAAGTTAAGCGAATGGGGATGCTTTAAAATTATAAACATGACTGAATTTTAAAAATCAAATGTTCTAGACTTAGGAAACAAGCTTAGAAGGAAACATGGATTACTAAACTTCCAACACTGGAAGTAAGGAGAAATTACTGTTCTTTTTCCATCTCCTCCATAATTCCCACATTTTTCTTTAACGGTTATATATTTTCGCATAACCTCCGAAATAAAATAATGCTAAGATCATCTTTGTTTTTACTTAGGAACAAAAAAGAATCAACACAGCAGGGTAGTGAAGAAAATGCTGGTTTCCACTTGCCAGTTTACCTTGTTTTTTCTGAGTCTGGTTGCCTGCTGAGACAGGGTGAACACCAGGCTCCTGGCTCTGACCAAGGACTTTCTCACCCTTGCCAAAGATGATCTTTGGTAACTGGGTACCAGCTTCTGGTGGAGATCTTACTGTCACTCTATATTCGAATAAGAAGGAAAAAAGTTCAAAGTAATGCTTGTGGCCATTGAAGTGTTCTGTGTTAGGCATTGTTGCAAGCTCTAAATCCATCATCTCACGTAGTCGTTACGACGTCTTATGACGGAGATTCTATTATGTGCAGTTTACAGATGCTGAAATGGAGGCTCAGAAACGTTACAGAACTTGCCCAAGAGTAGTAAGCTAGTAAGTGGCTGGGCAAGGACCCAGACAGTCTCACTCTAAAGCATAAGTTCTTAGCAACCACATGATTCTGATGAAGATATTCTCCCCCTAAGTATCTGTAATGTGCACAACAAATTGGCACACAAGGGAAATGGAACAAGACATAAAAACCAATCAGGTGTTAAAGTGAAGTCCAGGGGAACATGTGAGGGGCAGTGGGCACTACTAGCAGCCTGCCTAATATTCGCTTCCTCCCTTCTCAACAGACCCCAATTTTGTTCAGCCTGTCCTGCCTGAGGAGGGGCCACGGAGTTTCCACGCCTGAGTGGACACGTGCCCTCGCTGACACAATCAAGCCGAAGGGAAGCACTTCCAATCCTGGCTGGGAGAAGCCTTCCCCCCTTTCCCTCAGCTGCATGTGAATAATGAACTCACTTCACTGAACACACCAGCCTACTTCATGCTACTCTGCCTTTACACAGAATGTTCCCTTGGCCTGAAATTCTCTACCTTTCTCATTCATCTGGTAAAGTCTATTCATGAGAAGGCTGGTTGGGCCAACACTTACTGAAGCCTTCCCTTCTCTTCCACAATTCCCCAGTTTCTCTGCCTTACTCTTTCTCTTTTGATGTAACCATTTATATTGCTGTTCTGTCTCTCTCATTAGTCTTTAAGCTCCTCAAGGAAAGGAGCTCTGTCTCCCTCATCTTGGTTTTAATCTCCAGCACTCAGCACAGTATTTGGCACATGGCAGACACTCAATAAATGAGCTCAACCACGAAATTCCCTCTCACTCCGCTCTAGGATGGCAGTGAAGGAACACTGGAATTACTTACTCACTTCCGGGGATGTTTAGGATTAGAAGGGTGACAGAGACAACCTGTTTCCTTAAAATACAGTAGTGCATATCTTCATCCTGAGAAAGGAAGACCCAAATGTACATCATCTTATTCATTCACACTAGAACAAGAACAAAAAGCTTTCAGGAACAAGGCAAATACGTGGCCCAAACTCCATTCCAAACACAACTGTGGGTGCTCAGAAACACCTGGAAGTTAGAGCGGCCACCACCTCAAGAGAGCAATGCTGAGAGAAGCAGGCTGTTCCCACTCAGTGTCTTGGACTCAAGTGAAGGGAGTGATCAGGTCAGGCATTTAACGCTCACCAGGTAAGAAGAAAATCCATCATTCTTTGTACGGTCCAGGCTGAATCCAATCTAAGAGGGGTAAAAAGAGTTTGGTTTTCTTAGCATTCATTTTGTAAGAAGCATCACTAATTACTAAAATTATTCAAGAATTACAACTTTAGTGTTAAAAGTAAAACTATCTGATGCCTGCACACAAGTCTAATTTTCTGCACATTCTGATACTTGATCTTTAAGTATGGGGTGAAGTTCTCCCCTAAGGAACAGAAAAGGGCAAAGCCCTTGATCTCCTGGAAGGCACTTACAATTGGTTCTTTGTCTGTGGCTCCTTCAGGCTTGTTCACTGACAGGCTACTGACATTAACCACCATGTACCCGTCCTTGAAGAATCCAAAGGTGTTCAGATGAACCTTATGCCTCACATCATCCTAAAAAAATGTGCAGTGGTGGAATTAGTAATATGGAGAAGTTAACTTGATTACTTAACCTATTCAGTTGCTTGAAAAACTATGGTATCTAGTTTCCTGCTAGCTAACCAATGTTTCCACATGCTCAGTAATACATACAGCTGTGCTACCTTATCTTGCTCCAAAAGCTGAAGAAAACGCGTCAGAAATTCAGGAGGTATCAGCAGTTTTGCAGAACGAAGCGCACAACAGATTCAATTCATTCCAAGGGTCCAGGGGGTAGACTCGGTGGTCAGTTGTTAACGTGAATCCCAGGGAAGGAGGAACAATGTTTTAGTCATCCTCACATCCTTCCTGTTAGTACAAAGCCTGGCATCCAGCAGGCACTCAAAACACTGGGGGGGTAGGGGGGTGGCCAAAGCTGCTCCAAGAACACACCCATTTAGAGAAACTTGCTTATGTGTTTTGTGTAACTGACTCCTCCCACTGCAGGATGACCAAGGATACCCGCACATTACTTTTCTAACCTATAATTCAATTTTTTACATAGGTTCATTTGCATCTAAAAATGATGTTATATATGATGGGTTTTCAGGAAACAAAGCCTTATGCAAAAGGACTCCCAGGAACCAGCCAGGTGGAGAGAGGATCTTCTGGACACAGGACATCCTGAGGTCTGCTGAACCTGCACCACATGGGCATATGCCTCTCACACCTGCTTAAAACTGTCTCAAAGTTCTGATTCCAGTCTCAACAAAGCCAACAAATTTTAAGGCCAACAGAACAACGGTATTAGTGAATACTTCTAAAACTGAGATTCCACAAAGACACTTCATATTGTGTAAAGTCAAGAGTTTTATGTCAAGAGTTTTATATTGAGAACTATTTGCCTAAATCAGAGCACCTCAGTAAGTCTGCAATAAGCCAACAGTTATTGGCTCCTAAATGCAAGGCACTATGCCAAGGACTTTTCTAAAATTCGCATTTGGTTGTTCCTTAAATCTGAACGGTCATTTTTGCTAGTGTTTGTTTCTGGCTCATATTTTAAACTTTCGTCCTCTGTTTCTTTCCATTTTAAGTATAGCTATTTTACAACGCGCTGAGGTGCTCTGGGGGGTGTCTAACTCTGCTCTTGCCTCTGCTGCCTTTCCCAGCAGCTTGTTTCTCTGTGTGAGTGGCAATTTTTTATTTCTAGACCTGGATCTCCTGGACAGCAGAGGTAGCCTAATTGCAAACGCCAAGGGCCTACGAGGAGAGGCAGTGGATCAGATCTTCAGGAGAAAAATCATAAGCTGCATTCCCCCACACAGCTAAAACACACATGTATCACCATCAGGAGGGTTTTATTTCCCACCGCACTCTTGCATTCAAGGACTACAGCTCTCCGAGAGGCCTACGTTACAGGCCCCATCCAAGTTCCTGCCATGCCTCAGGGCAACCGGAGCTCGTGTTTTCACCCACTGGGGTTTCAGGTCCTTCCTCTTCCCTCCCTTCCCTTCTTTTGGCCCCTGGGAATCTCCCTTAATTCCCTAAGAGCCCAGCTCTGCATTTAAAGCCGTTTGCTGGACTTCCACTTCCTGGTGGGATGGAGCAGCTTGCAGCAAACCAGCATCCCCGGGGGAACGAGAAAAGCAGATACGATAACAGAAGTCATCTGTTAGAAGGCACTGGAGAGCTGCTAGACCAAAAAAGCCCAAAAAGCTAAGACTCACAGCCTTTCCCGGGTTCTACGATAGATTAACCTCTACAGAACATGATCTGAGGGACTATTGTCTCAGTTCTTTCAAAAGTGTCACGAGGCTACTACCATCCTACATGCACAGGAGAGAAATGAACTCAGCTACATATGATGGATGCTTTGGGACACCAGGGCTTAACCCTGGCAGAATCCCCGGATGAGAAGGGCTGCGAGAAAGAATGAAGGAAAATGAACAAACTCCTGCCACACGCAACAACCTGGATGAATCTCACAGACATAATACTGAGCAAAGAATTCATATTCGCCATAGGTATAACAAATTCAAATGCAGGGGGGAAATAATCTACAGCGATAGAGGTCAGGACCGGGATTACTCTTGGGAGGGAGAGATTTCCAGTCACTTGGGGGAGTGGGACCTTAAGGAGCTTCTCAAAGTGCTTAGCAACCTTCTGTTTGCTGGTTGCACAAGTGTGTTTACATAGTGGAAATTCATTGCGTTACATGCTTACAATGAGTATTTTTTTTAGCATATATATTATACTTAATAAAGTTGAAATTTTAAAAGTATGTCTGTTCAAATTTATCCAGCATTTAGATGCCATGTAGCAAAATGAAAGCCTGTTAAGCACTTTTTGTAGTCATTTAGTCCACCACAATGGATATTTTCTAGTCTTTTTTGGAAACATTTTCCAAAGTGTTTCAACTGCAACCTTATAACAGTTATTTTTTTCCATATAAACAGTACATTCCTTTATTGTTTTTTCTGATTTTTATATATTATTTCACTTGATAATACAATGTCATTAAAAACACGTTTTTGAGGAATATTTTAAACAATCATAACAGCATCACAACTCCATGTTTTCAGCACTTACCAAGAACCAGGTTATGTGCCAAGGGCTTTCCTATGATATCTAAGCCTCACTCAGCCCAGTGTGATTACGAGTAGTATCCCCATGATAGGGATGAAGACACAAATTCAGAGGTGAAATGAACTACCCAAGGCCAGGCTGACCGTAAGTGGTAAAGCTGAGATATCAACACAGAGTATGAAAGCCATTTTCATACTCTGTCCCCTAATATGGGAAAATGATCATGACATAATATGAAATGCAAGCTGGATAACCTAGAAGAAATGGACAAATTCCTAGAAACATACAACCTACCAAGACTGAATCATGAAGAAACAGAAAATATGAACAGACCAATAACGAGAAAGGAGACTGAATCAGCAATCAGTTAAGGAAAAGTTATTGACAATCCTTCTCAAACTCTTCCAAAAAATTGAAGAGGAGGGAACACTTCCAAATTCATTTTATAAGGCCAGTATTATCCTGATACCAAAGCCAGATAAGGACACTATAAGAAAAGACAATTACAGGCCAATATCCCCAATGAACAAAGATGCAAATATCCTCAACAAAATACTAGCAAATCGAATTCAACAGCACATTAAAAGATCATACACCACAATCAAGTGGGATTTATCCCTGGGATGCAAGGATGGTTCAACATATGCAAATCAATAAATGTGATACACCACATTAACAAAATGAAGGAAAAAATCCTATGATCATCTCAATAAATGCAGAAAAAGCATCTGACAAAATACAACATCCTTTCATGATAAAGACTCTCAACAAATTAGGTATAGGAGGAATGTACCTCAACACAATACAGGCCAAATATGACAAGCCCACAGCTAACATCATACTGAACAGTGAAAAGCTGAAAGTTTTTCCTCTAAGATCATGAACAAGACAAGGATGCCCACTCTCATCACTCCTATTCAACACAGTACTGGAAGTTCTAGCCAGTGCAATTAGACAAGAAAAAGAAATAAGAGGCATTCAAATCGGAAAGGAAGAAGTAAAAATGTCTCTGTTTGTACATGACATGATCTTACCTATAGAAAAATACTAAAGACTCCACTAAAAAACTGTTAGAACAAATGAACTGAGTTAAGTTTGCAGGATATGAAAATCAACATACAAAAATCAGTGGCATTTCTATACACTAACAACAAAATATCTGAAAGAGAAATTTTAAAAAATCCCATTTACATTAGAATCAAAAACAATAAAATACTGGGGCTGGCCCCGTGATGTAGTGGTTAAGTTCGTGTGCTCTGCTTCGGTGGCCCGGGGTTCACGGGTTCAGATCCCAGGCACGCACCTACACACTGCTCATCAGCCATGCTGCAGCCGTATCCCATATATAAAGTAGAGGAAGACTGGCACAGATGTTAGCTCAGTGACAATCTTCCTCAAGCAAAAAGAGGAGGATTGGCAACAGACGTTAGTTCAGGGATAATCTTCCTCACCAAAAAAACAAAACAAAACAAAAACAATAAAATACTTAGGAATAAATCTAACCAAGGAGGTGAAAGATCTACACACCGAAAATTACAAACACACTGATGAAAGAAATTGAAGATACAAATAAATGAAAAGATAACCTGTGCTCATGGATTGAAAGAATTAATATTGTTAAAATGTCCATACTATCCAAAGTGATCTATAGATTCCATGTACTGCCTATCAAAATTCCAATGGCATTTTTTACAGGAACAGAAAAAACAATCCTAAATTCATATGGAACCACAAAAAACCCCAAACAGCCAAAGCAATCTTGAGTAAGAAGAACGAAGCTGGAGGCATCACATTGCCTGATTTCAAAACATATTACAAAGCTACAGTAACCAAAGCAGTATGGTACTGGCATAAGAACAGATATATACCAATAGAACAGAATAGAGGGCCCAGAAATAAATCCACACATTTACGGTCAACTGATCTTCGACAAGGGTGCCAAGAACACAAAATGGGGAAAGGACAGTCTCTTCAACAAATGGTGCTGGGAAAACTGGACATCCGCATGTAGGAGAAGGAAACTGGACTCTATCTCACACCATATACAAAAATCAACTCAAAATGGATTAAAGACTTAAACGTAAGATCTGAAACTGTAAAACTACCAGAAGAAAACATAGGAAAAAAGCTTCTTGACACTGGTCTGGGCAATGATTTTCTGCATAGAAACCAAAAGCCCAGGCAACAAAAGCAAAAAGACAAACAAGATTGCATCAAACTAAAAAGCTTGTGAACAGCAAAGGAAACAATCAACAGAGTGAAGGGATAATCTATGGAATGAGAAAAAATATTTGCAAACCATATATCTGATAAGAGGTTAATATCCAAAATACACAGAGAACTCAAACAACAGCAAGAAAATAAGTAACTTGATTAAAAAATGGGCAAAGAATTTGAATAGACATTTCTTAAAAGACACACACAGATGGCCAACAGGTGTAGGAAAAGGT